CGATAAGATCGCCCATTATTACACTGTATTCTTTAATTATGTACTTCATGTTTTCTGTTTTCTGTGGTGTGAAAATGAAGAGTTTTGTATTGTATTGTATTGTGTATATTATAAAGCAACAAAAACAAAAAAGATACGTTAAAAACATAAAAAAATGTTCTTACCTCTAATGTAAAATTAACTTTTGACGTTTTCACCCTTTGAAACCCAAGGTATCAGTATTATGTAGTACCAGTATCTGCAAAATATTTATGTTATGTACATCCACTGTATAAAATTCAATGCTTTTAAATCCGACTTTTACCAACAATCTGTCGGAAATCGATAAGCATTTATGGTTCGAATCGAATGGTGTACGAAACGAAATGAAAGCAATCTGGTTTATATGTAGTTGATAGCGTTTAATAAATAAATACGGTTAAAGGAATCAACTTAATATGCGAAAATTTCCGTATCAGTCGATAGCGAGTGAATAATGAAAATCTTTCTTGGCTCGGGAATTTCTAATATTTGTTTAATCTACCAGAAAGCAGTCAGAACGACAAATCGAAGGACCTCGAAAAATATACCTAATTTTGTTGATATTAACTTTGACAATATGTGTTGCTAGTCGCGAATAAGTTGTGCTGGAAATATTTATAAATATAACGTAGTAGTAGAGGATCCACACTAATAACTCCCTTCACCAATTTGTTTAATGGATAGAAATTGTTTTGTATCAATTTAATATATTACAACTTTTATCTTGAATAGGTTATTTTAAAAAATCGTGGCCAATGTTTAAATGCTTTTACTTTTGCGTGAATTTGACGAATAAATTTAATAGAAATTCATCATGCCGTTCGGCTCTGGAATGCACTTCCTTTAAACTTGCGTAACGCTCCAAGCAGGATTGTGTTTAAGGCTTCGGTGCGGCAACACTACCTCAATCTATTGCATAGTGCTTAATCTCAATCAGAATACTGTAAGCCGACACAGTATATGTGTTATATATATGTGCGTGTATATGTATATAAATTTATTTATTTATATGTGTATATTTATATAATAATTATATAAGTATGGTCGTATGTATTGTTAAGTGTTAGTATATTTGCTCATTGTTTGATTTTGATCTCTCTTCTTTGATTCTGCCGTTTCTTTAGCTCTGTATGTTCTTTCCGGTTGATTGGTAGAGAATGCCATATTGGCATTAAGTTTGCCGTTTGCAGTGTTACGGCAAAAAAGATTAAATAAAAATAAATCATAGTCTGGCAAGGAATTTTTAGACACTCACACGAGATAAATATTTTCTAATATATTAAATTTGATATTATATACTTTTAATCCATTACAGAGATGGGTGAAGGTCGTTTCCGGTTACGTACTTCGCGGTATTACTTAATAGTTTTCATGCCGGAACGAAGAACAAAATTCGTTTATCTTTTGCAGCATCAAATCTAAGAGAGAGGACACCTATATCGCCCGTCTAGGGTAGTAGTCTCTACCTTACAGAACAACAGCTCAGTAGAGACTATTGTCTGTTAATTTAGATTTAAAAAACACGGAGTAACACCATTATTAGTAAACACGGCGCTAGTATAACATAAAAGCATAAAAGTGGACATATCGATTTCAATCCACAATTTTGTTGCATGTAATAGTAGTTTATGCGACTATCAAAAAGAAGGGGTATTAAATCACGAGTCTGTTTATTGCATGAAGCGAAGTCGATTACGATAAGTTGACTCGAGTGTTTTAATACCTTAATTACATGCAGTTGCATACACTACTTTATCACTCCACTTTTAGGAACAATTGAAATTAAACTAAGTAGCTAGGTAAGACACAAGTATTTTGCAAAAGTTTTCTGAAATCTTGAAAACAAAACACGATCGGCAGAAAATTGCATGGGGCGCTTGAAATTAAAACTTCAAACTACGAATGCGTGAGCCTCTATTTTTACATTCAGCCTAATAGTTACTATTAAAAAATAAAAGTGTACCATAATAATTAAAAAGTAATTTCTCGATACGGCTGGCAGTACTATAATGAGTTTTATTTTTAATTTAATATATAATATGTGCGTGTATAAAGTACATACGCCTTTATAAAACCATCTTCTAATTCGTATTCGAAGATTTCGTCATGGGTGTGGATAAAAATATATTCGTTAATAATGTGTGCCTACCTTCACGTCACACTGAAAGAGAACATAATCACTAGACGCCCGTCATTTTCCTTTCATTCATTACACGGAAATTGCTTTCCAACAACTAACGACGCAGCGGCACTCAAACTTTCACAAAAGTTTCTTTAGGAAGTAAGAAATGTATCTACCTATAAATGTTTTAAATTTATAGGTAGTACTAATGATCGTTAATTTTATTGAAAGCCACGCGATGAAGTTTTCATTTTAATCTAATTCATTTAGGAGCTGGGTGGTGCAATGTTTTGCGCGTTCAATCTACGATTGTTGGCTTGTTGAAAGTTGGGCAACTTTTTTAATAGTCGGCAATGGGATGCGTGACCAGCTGCTTGCTTTTCCATGCCTTGGATGGTACATTAAGTTGTTGGTTGTTGACCAAGGGAAGAACAAGACTAAAGTACAGACAGCATATTTGTATTGCCTTGTCAGCACTCAGTGTCGCTTGCCTTATTGACGAGTAAAGGGAAGCGCCAACGTGTAAAAGCATCATATCAGCATTCGCTGTCGCGTGCTAACATTTGTCTAACGTCGCACGTGTCAATGGAGCACTAATAAATGGGCAGCTCCACAAAGCTCGTCTACATTGGCCATTTATATTGGTTTTCTTCCAAAAATTGGCCAATGTCTAGTCGGTAGCTCTTGTCTTGTATCAGTTTGCCTACGCTTGCAGTGGGTTCAGCTCGGCCAACATTTATTGGCGGTTTTACACGCTGTGCAACTGCAGTCATCGGGATCCACCAATCCGCATTGATCCCGTGTGGTGGGTTGTAGGGGCTCTAATTTTGCTATCCATGAGCTGGTGATAATAGCGCTGATAATATTCCTTTTTTCGTCCATTAGTAATTAAAATTTTTATGATATAAAATTATAATAACACAATATAGATAACGACTTTATTAGCACTTCAAGAAAAAAAATGTACCCCTTTTTTATACTAACTTTAATTTTTTACATGATTTGATAACTCAAATCAAGTAAGTAATGGACGGAAAAAGTATTACATATTAACATATGGAGAAAAGTTTTTGAAGAAGTAATGACTTTTATTATATTCAATAAATGCATTAAATATAATTATGAAATAAATGTTACCTATATTAATACACACTATGCGTATGAAAGTCACATGTTTAGTTTAACATGTCGAAACTCTGCCATATTGAATAACAAACATCCAAAATTTCAGTTTTAATTTTTATATAATATGTATAAATATTTTTTTCTTGTCTAATATTTATTTTATGAAAGTTCTAGAACCACAGTCATATTACAAGGCAAGCGAAGGGCGTTGGAGTAATTCATTGTCAATTGGGCCTTGGTTTTATTGATCATATTCTTGATAGTATTTTTGATACATTTAATCGAACAAGAAACCGATGTTATTGCGTCTTCACTATTTTTATATACAACGTCAATATCGGAGCTCATATCCACTATGACTGGTTATTTAATGGTTACGATTTGACATCAAAAACATCTTTATTACATGGCAAATAAGACCAGTTATCGTAGACCAGGAAATACAACAAATATAATACAAGCCATGGCTTTAAATGTGCAAAACATTTACGTTTTTTGTTTCTTAGGTTTTCACGCACACCACTCATTAAATGAAACAAGTTTCAATGATATAGATTTATTTATTTATTGATGTTTTGCACTTACGTTAATAAACAATTGGATAGCTATTAATTTATTAAGACCATAGTAAAAATGTCTTTGTTTAAATTACCGTTTTTAACGGAAAGACTTGAACAAAGTTGTTTAAATAAAAAACATAGTACTAGAAAAAAAAATCCACCCAGTCTAGGTATCCGCCCGGGTAGCGGAAGGCGCAGGTTCGAATTCTGTATGATACATTTTTTTATTACGCAGGCAAAACCTCTATTTACAGTCGTTGACGCCCTTAAGGACCGCACCAATAAACGGACCTCACAATAGCCTCTCGCAAGTCTTACGGCTGTGAAATTTAGAAGCCGTTAAACAGTCCGCGCGGCTTACGAGCGCTTATGGCTTTCTATCCGCTTAAAAACCCTGCGAATACCCTCGACACTATTAAGTGGAACCGCGAGATCCCCTGTGAGGAATTTCGTCGCGTCTCCGCACCTGGCAGCTTCCCAGCCTAATCCTGTCTTACACTCGGATCGAGTAGAATATTTGCTTAAGATTATAATATCTAGCAGTTTAATGCTTTCACTCTCTCTGAATTAAGAGAGCAATGCTCTTGTCGGTGCAGTCTATGGATCTCCCGCCATCTCCCTCTGCCTCCGTCAGCTCTTTGACCCACCTGTACGACTCGACGCCAGCCCTCTCCTTAAGCCCGCCCTTTAAAAGAGGTGTGAAGAAGCAACATGCAGGCCGGCAAGGTGAGGATGGCTGGTGTGGCAGGTAGGACTGCTGTACCAGCTATCTTCACGTCTGGCCTTCACCATCACTTAACATCAGGTAGGGTGGAGTCATTTGTCGGACATATCTATATAAAAAAAAGTATAGTGTAGGATATCCATGGTCTGGCCCCTTCCTCTTTCCTTCTACTTTCTCATCAATCATGCTCTTGATAAATTCGTCGCGTCGCACAAGGTGGCCGAACATCATTCCCCTTCTGTTTTCCAGTATGTCAAGTAAATCTCTTCTTTCATTCACAACCTCCAATGTCCTTTATTTGTCTATTATAATAATAATAATACTAGAAGACTATTTCACAATCGAATTCTACTTAACGATTGTGAAACAGGCAAGAAACAGGTGCTGAAAATCTGCTTAATTATAGTGTATGTGAAGTAATATAACTTTTATTTTTATTTGTCCACAGACTTGTGCCATGCTGCGACCAAGATACAAGCTTCGTTCAGGGGCCACCAAGCTCGTAGGCAGACTCAGGCGGAAAAGGATAAAGAAGCACAGGAACTGCAGGATAAGGTAATAATCTCCTAATACTTACCAATGAATTAGAGCACCAGAAAAGAATCCCACTCATATAATAAATGTGAGAGTTTTTATGTTTGTTACTTAGTGTCGCCGCACACGGGCCACCGACCACAACCACATAACGCCGCCACCGGCATATTTCTTATAGTTTTCATACATTTTATATGGACTCGCCACACACGGTACGCCGATGGCCGCCACACGCTACAAATCGTCGTTGCGCGCTTCTTGTGGCCCGCACCGGCCACTTAATGCGCCGATAGCAAACGCCGCCATACGTCACTCGCGCGATTCCCCAACCCTCTCCCATACCTTAGCGCTTCAGCCGCTTCTAGGTTCTCGTGGCGGCGTTAGTGGCTGTGGCGTGTGGCCCGTGTGCGGCGACACTTAATCATACTACAAAAATGGATAAACGGATTTGAATGAATTTTGGCACATTATATACTCCCGGACACATATATCGTCCCACATAATATTTAAAGGTTTGACCTATAGGGAATGGCGGTCCCAAGCTAAAAAAAAATTTTACATGGAGCAAAAAGTTTACTCAGTTTTGAACCATCTTTACTATTAACCATCTTTTTTTTAATATATTGTTATTGCTTTATCTAACTTAATTATATATTAGCTACAGACTATTAACTTATAACACTAAGTGGGCCGATAGATGTGTCCGGAACTGTAGTTTTTAGCAGGATTGAGATATAGGATACTTTATACCGGGAAAAGTTAGGTTTCGGAGTGATTCCCAAAAAACTAAAGTTGACGTGGACGACGTCACGGGCGGTCGATAGTCCATAATAATATTATGAATGGGAAAGTGTGTCTGTCTATCTATTACCTCTTCATACTGAAACCGCTGATCTGATTAAGATGAAATTTGATACAGAGGCAGTTCGAGCCCTGGGGACGGGAGTGGAACTTTGTATGGGAAACCAATTTTTCCACACAACGCAGTCGCTGGCACGCACGATGATTTCCACGATATATCGAATGACACTTTTAATAACATAATACGTGAATCAAGCTAGAATCAGAAATGCCAACTCGATTTGTTTTTGGACGTATTTATTTCAGTGCTAAATAGTGATTAAGCATGTTTTTTTATATTGTAATTTAGCAGTTTACACCCCTTAGTTATAGTTTAAAAATATTCAACATCAAAAAAATGTATAAAGTGCTTTAAAAAAATACCCACCTTGCACGGTCATTTTAAACGCTGACTTATTTGGAACAATTTGACAGTTCAATCAAAGGTTAGATGCGTGCGCACTTACACTATGTTTCGTTGCTTTGCCATATCCTATCAAAGATATTAAATACTGTAGATGCAACAACACGAACAAAACGTGGCCGAAACCTGTCCAAAAGGTACATTGGACGATCCACGGAGCTCCGTAAGATGATTGCGTTGTCAAAGAACATATAAGTCTTTATTTAAACATTGAAAGTCGCCTTTAATACATACAATGTAAGGTCTTAATTAAAACGCATGCATCAAAGAGTTGTGACAGTTCGAAATGCAAATTCGTAAAATTTTACTACTTACTATATATTATGCGGAATAATATAGACCTTATTTCTTTGTGCGCGCGCAATTTTGAATGCGCTGTTAGCAATATATCAGGTACGGACCGCGAGGAAAAGAGATGGCTGTATAACCGACCATGGATTTCAATATCACAAATATTTTCTATTAAATCAGTTTATAGTAACTATTACAACAAAGTTTCCTTCAAATGCGTTAAACTAACAAACATTGTTTAGATAACTGTCGAAAAAAGGACACTTTATGTACAATAAGTATTTTATTCGCATTTTTCACGGAGCTATGCGGCATCTTGACTTTTCAACGGTCCGCGCGTGACTGTGAACTAAGAAGTACTTGAGTGGAGTTCAAGCACTTCTTGATTGGGACACATTTTGAGCGCACGTGGTGTATCTAGGTATTTACTATCGTTGTATCCTATGAACATGGCGCTTGTTTGTTGATTTGATTGCTGTTATGGATATCCACGTCACAACCGCTCTGTCGCGTTTCAAGCATTTGAAATTCGCAAAGACTTTTTGCAATTATAAATTTTATAAATAAAATAGTGATGGAAGGACAATTCAGAAGTAATAGAGATTATACACGAAAAATAACCTTATTTAAATGGGGTACCCATTGATCAATACAATCACGATACTAAGATCGCCGTATCACAAATTGTAGCGATGCTACTGCAATACAGCATATTACAAGCACATTCCCTATTATAATTAACTAGTCGGATTATGAATAAAATTTAATGAAGATATAGGTAAATAATATACATGATTACAAAAACATACATATGATTGAAAACTGTTCAGTCTTCATGGAACAGAAGGATATATATACTATTGTTGAATTTACTTTTAGGTTTATAGAACCATGTCTTATTCTATCACAATGTATTATAAATATTTGTAATGGACTCAAAAACATTTAATAACTTAAAAAAAACACTTTCTATTTCAGGAGGACGTAGAGAAGATCGACTTAACCGACCCCGATTTGAACAAGGCCGCTACCAAGATCCAAGCTTCGTTCCGTGGACACAAAGTGCGTAAAGACGTCCCCAACTAAAGTGACCAAGTGTGCACAGGGCAGAATGGAATCTGGCTTCGTGTGTGCTTCTTATTTGATGAAACTGCGATGACTTTGCAAAGACGTTTCAATAAAAAATTCGTTAATAGTATAAAAAAATGTTCCTAATCATTTTTAGAAAAAATATATCTTCCTTTAATTGGGTATGTCTATCTTGCATTACATTGCTCAGAATAGCTGCCTTTATACTCACACGTAATATAAATTTATAAAAGAACTACCCCAAGATCATCTCCTGACAACTTGTGATATGACTTTAAGCGTAAAAAAGTACTTTTATAATCTGATAATGCTGCACATACGAAGCCAAATTGTCGAGTATCGTTTGTTAGTTACGTAATGTGTGTAATCATGAATGGTATGTCAATTCTCTACCAATAGCTGTCAATTTTTACTTTTACTTGAAATATTCCTGTAACTAAAGAGCGAAGGATTGACGTATCACGTGAATACCAAAAAGTAGCGAACATTGGAAATGAATTAAACTATTTATTATCTACGTTAGGTATCTATCCCATTTTTCTATTCTTAATACCGTCACCCTATCATCAGCAAAATCATTATTGTTCGAGAAATTTCTGCGTTTATTAAAACATTCCGAAGCATTTTTTTCTTCTTCAATGTTTGTTAAATATGTAAGATTTTATTTTAGAATAAAGTAGTCGTAAGATAATAATTATTGTAGCTTTAAACGCTATTGAACAGCTTGTATTAAGTAATTTAATTTTGTATCATTTATGAACAATGTTTATATTATATTCGTTACATAGTTATGTATGATTACTAGGATTACATTATTATTAACAATTAAAATTCTTCATATTGTTTGTCTTTGATTATGTGTTTATTTATTGGTTAACTCACTCGTCGCTGAATTTTCCTGAACATTTCTGATAAAATTTAGGATTTATATTAAATAAAATAATATTTAATATTCATCTATGCCAACATGTGTTTCATTTGATTCACGTTAGTTCACTAATTGATCAACATTACATTTAAGACCGTTAATGTAGTACATTCGTCACATAAATTAATAAATAATAAAAAAACACTTAAAATTATTTACAAATTACTAGTGGCTACTTCTTTGGAACTGCGTGGTGTCGTGTAATACCCGGATTTTGAAAGCCTTATAAAAATAAGCGGTTATTAATAGTTAACAAGTCGGTTGACGGTGTTGTCAAATTTAGTTCAAAAATTATTACGGCAAGTGCTATTTTCTATATCTCAAAATTTTCGCTAATATTCATTTCTGAAACTCAAATTGATTTGAGCGATATGTTAGTTTAATAAATGATTTTACAAGAATTTTAGGAACCGGGCATTAATGTCGCTATGATTTAATATTTAACGATTAACTATTGTAATAATATGTCGTTGGTGTGTAGCCAGTGTTAGGATGAACATAGCACGGATAGGACGTGTACATAGTTGGTTTTGAGTTTTCATAAACAAAATTGTATTGATTATTTTCCCCTCCTTTCTTGAGGGGCGTTTGACTAAATAACACTTTTTGCATGTGTTTCTCATAAGGTGTCTTAGTTGTCTTAATTAAAACTTCTGTATCGACCCAAGATCTCCATGTTTTTTTCAACGCATCTGCATTTAATATTCTATGAGAGTTGTCAAAATTAGGAATACTGCACCAGGAACTATCTTGATTATATGGATTTGAGTAAGGATATTTATAAGGTGATGGTAGGTAGGTTATTTCTGGTTTATAGCTATCTTCAAATCTGATGTTGGATGTTTGCAGTTGCCATACTGGAGTTGGATAAGAAGATTCCTTACATTCTATCAATGGTGGCTGCCTTTCAATTACCTCTGTGACATTACGCTGTTTTATTTCAATAACTTCAAAAGTTTCTGGAATCAAAATTTTTATTCAATATGGTGTGAGTGAAAAAAATTTTTTATTATTTGTTTATTTTATAAAAACACTTCCAAGATTATGTGAGAATGTATGTGCAACCTTTATCGATTCATCAATTATAATTTGTTTTAAATGACAACGACCTTATTGTAAAATTTATTTATCACTATGTATTTAAATTTCAATTTTATTTCATCATATTTGACCTATGGATGAAATTTTCAATTTGACTTTATTATATAAATTTTTCATTACGCTTCGCTCCCTATAGATAAGAATTACATCTATGGCTTGTGTTTTATATCCCAATTAAGTGTCTAACTATTAAAACTTAAGATCTAATAGTAAAATTTACTTACCATTTTTCATACAATCCTCAAGTGGTTTTAAGATACCAGAAACATCATTATTCTTCTTGGTATTGTCATCAATTTCTTTAAGTCCAGGTTTTGACGGTAATTTATTCCTTGTTTCATTGGATACATGATGACTTGTCTTAGGCGGACTTATAGGAACAATTTTTAGTTCTTTTCCTGTAAAAGGTAATAATAATCTCCTTGTGTTTTTAGTTAAATTCAATTCTTCTTTTTTTTGTTTATCTTCTGTTAGTTGCTCGTCGTTATTTTGATCTGACTTTCTTCTATATCCTGTAACATCTGCTGTTTCATTTATTATATTGTTATTTAATGTTGAATTGTTGTTTTTATTTGTGTTATCCACAATAGAAATTTTACTTTGAACTTTCATATCATCGGATACTGTAGCAGAGAGTGGAACATTATCATTACTAGCATCAGAATTATGGAGTTTCATTCTGTGTATCATTTGGTCTGTTTCTTCGTGAACGACACTCTCATTTTTTTTGTCTGGTAATACTGGTATCTCATGTAAATTATTTTTCAAATCAATACTATTGTTTTCGTCTGTATGTGAAGTATCATTTAAAACATCAGTTTCTTCATGATTATTGGCCATTGGTTTTTCAATTTCAGAAATTGTCTTTTGATTTACCTTTACAGATTGTGGTTTGTCAGTTAGTATTATGTCATTAACGGGATCTTCTATGAAGAGTGGTTCTGCAATTATTTTGTGTTTGGAATGGGCTGTTTCCTTTGTGGCTTTCGTTGATTTTTTTTCATCATTATTGGCTAATCTTGGTTTTTTAGCAATATTTTGTTTCATAACAGCGGTTTTTTGTAACTGAGCTCTAGGAGTTACTAATGTTTTTTTCACAACTTTGTTGTTAGCCAATTTGGGTCTTGAATTTACATTTGGATGAACTGGTTGTGAAACAGAGAGTGCCATAATTTTTTCTTTGTGGGTTTGATGATAGTTACTGTTATTCCGCATAAGTTGATGAAGTTCTTCTAATGTTTTTTCGGGTACTCTTTTAATACGATATCTCAACTGTCCCACCTTAAAAATACATATGTAAAAATTAAATGATAATGTTTCAGTTGTATCAACTACTAATAAATAATATATCATCATCATCATCATCAGCTTATCAATTTCCCCACTGCTGGGGCACAGGCCTTCCCTATGGATGGAATAAGGAGATTGCCATGACCCACCACGCGGGCCCAGTGCGGGTTGGTGGGTGCTAACGACTGGACGGGACCAACGGCTTAACGTGCCTTCTGAAGCACGGAGGAGCTCGAGATAGTAAATTTTCGGTCACCCATCCAATGACCGACCAATGCGAAAGTTGGTTAAATTCAACGATCGCAGCGGAACGCGCTAACCACTTGCGCCATCGAGCTCCTCAAATAATATATAGTAAATTATAATTGACGTCTTTCAAAAATACCACTTACATTTTGATTTGGTCGTTCTTGGCAAAAACTAAAAGGCACTAAGCAGATTATAATAATGATATGAAAGAACATTTCAATAAATCTACATTGGCGCGGTTCTGCCAAGTATTCAATGCGAAATGAATTAATCTCAGCAAAATGTTTATAAAATTCGGTTTTTATTATAATTGATTGTGAACGGTTCTCTTTTGATATTAGAAATTCATAATAAAACTATCTCAATACTGTTTGAATAATAATGGATGACGTATCTGACTGTGTCCTTGATTATAGTGATTGCTGACGTAAGATTTCTAATTGATAAGCACTTACAGTACGTAAATTTCGAGAAGCCGTGGAAGATGGTTGACGCGATTTGCGTGAATAGGCTAATTTTGGATCATGGTGAAACCAAAAAGAAGGGAACATAATTAAAAAATGGGATAAATAAACCTATGTCTACTATGTTACAAACCATAAATATACACAGAGAATAAGTTGATAACTGTTTTTAGTGATACTGTCATTTTAGATTATGAATTAATCAGCGTTAATGTATTATTAGTGTTTGGTTTTTTCAAAAAAGACGAATAAATACTATAAATATACATTTACCAAATTTTTCACCCTTTTTGATTAAAAAGGCAGTAGAATATTTTATTGCTTGAAAGACTAAGTGGTGAACTTAAAACGTACGGTACATTTGTTAATAAAATAAAAAAATATAACCTAAGAAAAATAAGCTTGGCACCCACAGGTACTGCATGCATGAGCAGACCAAAAACTGAAAAGGATTTTGTACTTACATGAAGTTTTACCATATCAAAAAAGACAATATTAAAAAAATGGTGTGGTTTTATGAAACCATGATGAAGCGAATTTTATAAATCACTAGCTGACCCAGCGAACTGCGTACCGCCATAAATATAGAGGCAGGTGGTAGAAGAGAAAATTGAGGGTTGTATGTATTTTTAATACCACATTATAAAAAAATAAATATTGTTCAATAACAAATTTTAGGGGTGTGTAACGTAGTGTTCTATCATTTCCCTGGGATAACATTCCTCCTAACCCATATGAGAACGCTACGTTACAATACCTAATAGTCTGAATTTTAGCGCGAAGGTGCATTGTAGGTTTCAGAACACTACGTTTTACGACAACCATTATCACTTAGGGATATGAAAAATAGATAGCCGATTCTCAGACCCACGGAATATGCATATAAAATATCATAAAAATCGGTCAGGCCGTTTCGGAGGAGTATGGTAACTAACATTGTGACACGAGAATTTTATATATAAGATAAGATAATATTAATAAGACTCCCTCCTTGGCTGGGATTCGAACCCAGGCAGTCCGCGTAGGAGACGTGCTTACTGCCACAGAACCACCGATGCTTTCTGATAAGGTCTGAATTTTATATTAACAATTAAAAATGTAATGCGACATACTCAAGATGAACAAAAAAATATTACGATGATTTAATAACTGCTGACCTTAAGGACGAATCTGACATTGAGAGGGAGCTCAGGGCGCAGGTGGTGCGCTGTAATATGCTGGCTCGTAGGTTTGCATGCTGTAGTACTCCAGTAAAATTAACACTTTTTTAGAGCTTACTGTCAAGTGTTCTACACGTGCAGCATTTGGATCAGCCACTCGCAGCGGGCCCTCGCTGCGCTGCGTATTCAATATAATAATACTCTCAGAGTGTTGTTGGGGCTGCCCCGTTTCTGCAGTGCATCAGGCATGTTTGCGCAGATGCATATTGATGATTTTAATGCTATCATGCGGAAGAGAGCCGCTTCGCTGCTTTGCAGGGTGCGGGCCAGCTCCAACTCCATTCTGCAAGTTATAGGGGGTCGATATGATTCCCCTATAATAGCTTATTGTATTTAAAAGTATATAACGGGCACAAGTTTAGTATGTAAGTAATTAAATTTCAAATTTCGATACTAATACTAGATAATAAGTAATCATGTAACTAACAATAATATGGATGTATCCTTGTCCAAAATAAATGTTTATTATTATATTATTAATAATATAATATAGTACATATATAATTAATAAACATGACAATTTGATAAGCCTTAAAGTTGTCATACTAATAGTCAAAATTTTAATAGAAAAATAAGTAAAAAAAAATATTATTAATAAAAAAAACACTTCAAAAACATCAAAAATGCTAAACGACGAATTGGAGAAATTAAAAATGTGTTGAATACAAACATAAACTTTATTACCAGACAATCATACTAAAACAAAACTCTGCACGCATTGATAGAGCTGCTGTATCATCGGATAGAATTCCACTATCCCTGATATTAGGAGTACGAACAGCGTGATGAATCTGCTAAAACTCCTTACTAGGTCCAGCCTGTTGCTTAAAGGCAGGGACTTTCTTAATGACTGTCCCTCGAACCAGACAGCATCTTTAGGAGGAACTACCTGAAACAAGAAAAAAGTGTAGAGAAAACTCTTACTAGAAAAATTCACCCGGTCCAGGCTTCAGACAGTATCCGAACCGCCCGCAATCCGGGCGGAAGCTTTAACCAATTATGCTTCCGTGACCTTAATGGCCGTGTCGAATTTCTTCTAGTCCGCCCCGATTGCGAAATGTGCGCTTTGAATCCTGTCTGAAAGCAGGACTGCGCGGAATTGTTTCAAGTAAAGTAATTTCCCCCACGAAAAAAAAGTCGCTTGGTTATAATTAGACAATGGTGACTAAAGTTAAAAGAAATCTGGTTATGGAAAGCCAGAGTACAGGGACCTACGCAAAACGCGCAATTTTTTTTTGTATGAATCATTTTGCCTTATTTGCTGTCTTGTGGATTCATGTCATAGGATAATTTTATAAATTGAATTGAATTTTCACGAAAATCCCAAGGATTTTGCATTAATTAATATACATATGAATACATCAATCAATCATGGTGATATCACCATTGTCTAATTATCTGCGTGCGAATAAGGCAAAATGGTTCATACAAAAAAAAACCTTGCGCGTTTTTAGGTCGTAGTAGGTCCCTGTACTCTGGGTTTCCATAACCAGATTTTTTTGAACTTTATTGCTTTACAATTGCATGCAATCAGATAAAACGCATAATTATAAATCACACTCGTAGAAATCTAATTTCAGATAAAGTTTTTGGAGATTAAAATATTGAACTCGTCGGGTTGCATTTGAAGCCCTAAAGGTGTTATATTAAACGAGTGATCCACTCAGTGTGTACGCATGCATAAGAAACAATTAGTAAACAATTTGTATCACCCACCTGAAAGACATTGCCCATTTCAATATAGGAGGGATTAATTTTCTCAGAACACGGCTGTAATATTGTTTTAGTAAGTATTCTTGAGTAAGTAGTCAGAGACGCATAAGTACTTAAATATATTATATCATAACATAATATAGTAACGTTTAATGATATTTTTATTTAAAAAAATCGTGTGTGTACTGGGACACCCGGTTGGAACAATGTTAGAAATATTTATATCCCACAACCACCCACCGATTATGATGGATGTAGTCAACATCCGTCATAAACCACAATTTATAAGTCCTTTGTATGTATATAAAAACATAATGTCACCTAAAGGATGCTACGCGGGAAAAATACATTATTTCTTAATACAAAGACGCCATGTTTGGTTTTTGGTGTGAATACTATGAATACGACACGAAACGTGAAACATGAACGACAACACGACACTGCAGTAAAATAAAAAAAATCAAAAATTCAGCTAGTCACGACATGATATTTGAACGGTAATTCTTGGTAAAATGTTTGTTAGCACGATGCACTACAGTTTATATATTGTACAAAGAGCTCCTTTGATGGATTTAATCCGGTTGCGACATGCATTCACTTTACGTACCTGATGAAAATGGAGCGATGGAGGGCTTTTAATATCAAATTGGTGAAAGCCCGCTTGTCAGATGATGTAGTTCGTACCTACATACTCGAATATTTAATAATTAATGGTAAGTAAATCCGTACCAAAAGGGTTTTTTTTAAGTTAAATGCTTTGCTAGATGTATATTAGAGATTTTTTTAGAATTTGCGATGGAAAACTCAATGTAAATTTTAGTGTTTTAACGGAAAAGTGCGATTCGGTCTCACTCACCGAAGGTTCCGTACTTTTCAGGTACGCAACTTAAACGGACGTAACGGATTGACACTTGACCGGTTTTTAAATGATCATTGAAATATATACCTATATCTTTGAATAAAACAATTTTAATCTAAGGTCTATATTTAAATACCTTATCAGATGCAGTCTCTCCTTCTGGCTTCACATCCTCGTGTATAGGCGAGGCGTGGTTGTTGATGATGCGTAGAGCCCCCACGGCATCTCTCTTAGCCCTCAAAACAGTTCTTGATAGCTGACAATGAGAGGAAACAGGTTTGATTTCTTTTATTTATTACAATACCTACTACCTACATTATTAATACATTATTAATAAGTGGCATACATGGATTAAGTTTTAAACCGCTTGTTAAATATTTAAATAATTCAAATATA